TGAAAACCCACATGTGCCTTAGTACGCTCTAGTCAAAGATCTGGGTGAAAATCTGGTTTTGCTGAAATCAGTGAAAATTGTTGATAATTGGGAACTGAACACAGTGGGGCTAAAAGTTCACCCTTGAGAACACTTTTGGCACCTTGAATAGCCTTTCTTCTTGCTTGCCCTTGTTTCCCAGGTGGACTGGAACTTATACCCCAAACCCAATATCACAAAGGTATTTTAGCATTCTTAGTCCCTCTGAAAGGACTGAGACACTGAAACATGTTTCTGGTCTTTAGTCATGCTATATGCCAGTGGTCTCCAAACTTTTTTGATCATGCAACCCTATCAATAAAAAATATTTGAGCACCCACCCAATATATGTGTACTTATTTATTTATATATTATATACATGCACTACTGAAGTTCTGATATTTTCTTCCTTGTGTGCACACCCAGCTTTGGAGACCACTGCTGTAAGCCACAGAATTTCTGTGGAGAGAACAAGCAACTAGGCAATTACAAGTTTTGAACTATGGTCTGCTAAAGTCTACAGGGAGCTTTTTATTTGGATCAGGCTTATGGTCAAAACTGCAGACTGTGTTTTATGCAAAATGTAGGCTACATTTCGTTTTTCAATTTTCAACTTTGCTTCTAGAGTGCTTTCCCCTTTGCCGTAGGATTTGTGACGTTGGAATGATGGGAATGCAACTGACAGCAGGCAGATTGACATGATATTTATTTATTTGGAAATGGAAAGATGCTGTATAGTAAGGAGTATCTATGTTACAGTAAAGATATTCTGTGTTTGCAGGTGTGTGAGAAGAAAATGCAAATCTCATTCGTTTACTAGAAAGCACAATTCTAGTCCCAAATGCAGAAAATGTTCGATTTTCTGATTTAAGGCTAGATTGGTATCATTGTTATCAAGAAAAATCAGCTGAGTACCAAGCTGATTCTGCAGGAATCTACTCTGGGACTAAGTGATTAATACTGTTGCTCTTAATGTTTATGGTTGTTGAGAAAAATTACTGAACATGGTGATAAAATCAACTGTAGTGTCTAACGCTATGACTTAGTCCTCATTTTGGTTGGCAATCCCTGTGTTGGAGAGATTGACCTATGTTTCCTCAGGTAATGATTTTCTCCTAATAGCAGGCAAGTGTTAGTAATGATTGTAAGTGTTCTATCAAAGGCAGTTTACCAAGTCTTTTTTTAGTGGGATGTGGAGATTAGAAATAAATTTTACATGCACCCTCCAAGACAGGAGCTGTGTTCATTGGAGATACGACAATTACTCATTAGAAATTTCCTATTTCCATTCATTCTGTCACCCAGCTTGTTCAGTGCATTTGTGAGACAGAGGCAGCTTGTAGTGTAAAAGTTTTGTGTTAAGTCTATGAGAACCTAAGTAGTGGTACTATCCCTGTATCAGAAAGAGGAATGGATGTTTGCAGGCTGCCTGAGAAAACATCGTCCTGTCAGTTTAGTATTCTGTGGTAACTGCAAGGCAGATTTTCCCTGAGGATCTCTGTTTTATTTTCGAACACAACTTGCAGTTGCAGGGATAAAAATGTCAAAATGTTTTGCATTTTATCTAATAATGTCTTCCTGGTGGTAAATGCTACTTGTTTTTATATGTCTGCAGTGATTGAAATACCGAATAGAAACATCAGTAGTATAAAAAAGAAAAAAAGGCTAATCATTTTTAGAAATATTTTTCAAAAAAAAAAAAAATCCTGACAGCTGTCAATCCCTACCACAAAGAATTACGGTGTTATAATTTCAAATCTTGTGGATAGCATTAGTGCAGAAGCCCTCTGAGAGTAATGTGTACAAACAGCTGGAAAATATATTTTGATGACCTTAAAATTACTTCGCTTGATTTCTAGCGAGATCAGGCTTCTTTTTCCCCTGTAAATGCTTGCAACAGTCAGCAGAGTACAGCTGTACTGTGGAGTATCAGTGGGGATTATTGGTGGATATATTGCAGTGCTGGAATGGGACCTCAGAAGCATACGGAGGAGGCAGACTTTGCATGGGTCTCTGCAGGATGCTCCATAGGGTCTCTCCTCATTACTGCTTTCTAATTAGGTCACAATTCCCTTCAGAAGCTAGGCGGTTGCTAGAGATGACAGGCTGAAGAGCTCAAAAGAGCTGCTGTCCTTATAGCTTTCCTTAATTGCACCATTAGAGGCCACTGAGAATCCGATCTTTCCCAGGTTTCAACGGCTATAGTGAATGTCTTTGTTGGCACTGAAAGAGATTCTGGCTAGTATAAGAATGGATAATGAATTAAAATGCTTTTTAAATTAATTTGATGAAACTCTATGCCATTGAACCCAATCTTCTGAATTAAACTTGACTCATCAGCATCTGCCAGCAC